GGCCTCAGCATGGCCGGAGAAGCGGTGCGTCAGTGCACGCCCGGGATCCGAACCGGGGCCGCCAGCAGAGGAGTGCACACACTCAACCGCTAAGCCACGGGGCCGGCCCAAAACCCAGATTTTAATCAAACAAGGCAGCCACTTCTTAGAGGTCTACTGTGTCCTTTTGCAAGTGGCAAATACCATCTCTTCATCTGCCCCAGTTTATCTTTGGGTAAATCCCGGCTTTTGTACTGGGATTGATTAAATCAGAGTGTCCCTCTAAGGTCAGAGGCAAGTCATGATAAAGGCCATTAGGGTAGAGGGTAGAGGTCAGCAGCAGGGAGGGCCTGGAGAAGCCCCTTAGAGAAAAGCCCCCAGGTCTGCCCCATCCCCTGCATGTCCTAGCACAGGATCTGGTGTATAGCAGGTGGATGATAAATATTTATTGTTTCTGTGAATGCACCCAAGAGGTTCTGGAGGACCGCTTGCAAATGGCAGGGGTCTCAGGAACCCAAGGGGGCTGAGAGCCTAGCTGCTTCTGGGGAAGCCCAGGCTCACCACGGGCTCTGGTTGTGTCCCTTCCCAGCAAATGCTGTACGTGGGCTCGAGGCTGGGTGTGGCCCGGCTGCAGCTGCACCAGTGTGAGACTTACGGCAGTGCCTGTGCGGAGTGCTGCCTGGCTCGGGACCCTTACTGCGCCTGGGACGGCTCCTCCTGCACCCACTATCGGCCGGGCACCAGCAAGCGCCGGTTCCGTCGGCAGCACATCCGGCATGGCAACCCTGCCCTGCAGTGCCTGGGCCAGAGCCGGGAAGGTGAGTGGCATTTGGGATGGGGACACCAGCTGGTCTCTGACAAGGTCCCTACTCACCCCTGTGGCCTGGGCTCGACCCCTGTGAAGTGGGGCCTCAGACTGGTCCTGTTGTTTCAAACAGTCCTCAGTTTCCCTATCTGTGCAGTTCCTGTCGGTATATAGGTATAAGGTCTTTGGACAGAGTGACTGACTTGGGGACTGATGGACACCTAGGTCCCTGTCGCATTGGTGGGGGCTCCTGGGCTGTGGGAGTCAGTTGGCTGCCGGGTCCCCATAGTTCCTAAGCTGAGCCCACCTCTGTCTCCCTCCAGAGGAGGCTGCAGGACTCGTGGCGACCACCACAGTCTACGGCACGGAGCACAACAGCACCTTCCTGGAGTGCCTGCCCAAGTCTCCCCAGGCCACCGTGCGCTGGTTCTTGCAGAGGCCAGGGGACGAGGGGCCCGACCAGGTGAGTGAGGACCCTGCCTCCAGCCTGTATGTGTCCTGAGGTCAGACCCCTCCCTGAACCCCAAGTCCTGAGCTTTAGGGAGGGGCTCTGAGGGGAACCTGCCAAGATCAACCACAGAAAAGTGTATATTAGGCCCCTGGTGTGCCCCTGTTCCTGCCATCTGGGAATGCCCAGGCCAGATGTGGCTGGAACTTCTCCAGTGACAGGGAGCCCATAACTCCCAAGGCACTAAGCTGAGCTCTGAGAGGTGGGTAGCAGAGATGGAAGAGAGGGAAGGGGGTCTGGGCTGGTCAGGAAGCCCCCCATGCTTACACATATGGCTCATTTTTGAAGGGCTCTCTTCCCCAGAGTTCTTAGTCCTCCTCTGTCTCAGGCCTGGGCCTCTGACCACTGGCCCCAGCACACCCTACCCTACCCTCACCCCCCACACATACTGCCTGGCCCCGTACTTCCTCCCTGGAGTCCAGCTGTCTGCCCAGGCCCTCTCCTTCCCTATCCGGAAAGGTCTATCACCCCCAGAGATGGCTTTAGTCTGGGCCCTGAGGCTGGGCGTGGAGAGGGTGCAGGGTGAGGAACCATTTTTGAGCTGCTCCCACAAGCAGGGAAGGAGGGAGTAAGTTGATGACAGGAGGAGCTCTCCTTCCAGCTTGGGAACTGGAGGAGGCCAGCCTTGGGCCAGCTGTTGGGCTGGGCACTGAGAAGATTCCCCCAGGCGCCAGGGGCAGGGGGAGCACACAACACTAACCGCCCAAGCAGTCCAGCCTCAACGTACAAATGTACAGATGGCGGCCAGGCCAGAGATGGGGCCGGATCAGAACAGCACTTGTGCCTCCCACACTGTGATGGGCACTCAGCCCACCCAAGGCTGGGGCTGTGAGCCCTGCATGGTGGGGGGAGTGAACAATGCAGACCAAGACAGGGAAGGCTGTGTGTGTGGAGAGTGGAGAGAAGTTCTCGTCCTGGGGATGGGGGTACAGACCCTCCTGAGTAAAAGCCTATAAATATCCTCTTACTCCCTCTGCTCCCCGGGAATGTGTGCCAGGGGCCCCTAAAGCCAAGATAGGTGTCCCAGAGCTCTAACTAGGGAGGATCAGTCAGTCAAATCTTTGAAAAGCCCCCTTTGCAGGCCCTGTGCTGGGTTATGGGAAGGTGAGGCGCTGCCTGCAATTAGCTCATAGTCTTTAGGAGGTCCAGCCTGCCAAGGTGCTGGTCCCCTCCTGGGAAGGGGAGAATAGGCAAGGGGAAGTGCCCAAGCTCTGGGCTCTGAGATGGCAAATTTGGAAAAGCAGGGGGCAGAGAAGTTGATGGTGTGTGCCCTCCTCCACGCCCCCATCACACCCTCCCTTGTGCCTGGCAGGTGAAGACAGACGAGCGAGTCCTGCAGATGGAGCAGGGGCTGCTGTTCCGCAGGCTCAGCCGCCTGGATGCAGGCACCTACACCTGCACGACGCTGGAGCACGGCTTCTCCCAGACGGTGGTCCGCCTGGCTTTGGAGGTGATCGTGGCCACGCAGCTTGACAGCCTGTTCCCTCGGGAGCCGCGGCCAGAGGAGCCCCCAGCCCGGGGAGGCCTGGCCTCCACCCCACCCAAGGCCTGGTACAAGGACATCCTGCAGCTCATCGGTTTTGCTAACCTGCCCCGGGTGGATGAGTACTGTGAGCGTGTGTGGTGCTCCTCCCGGAGCCGGGGCAAACAGGCCAAGGGCAAGAGCTGGGCAGGGCTGGAGCTGGGCAAGAAAGTGAGGAGCCGGGTGCAGGCCGAGCGTAATCGGACACCCCGGGAGGTGGAGGCCACATAGAAGAGGGCAGAGAAGGGGGCAGTCATGATGGACCAGGTGGCCCAGCAGCAGTCCCCAGTGTCTCCCACCCACCCAGCTAGGGCAGAAGGGGCCAGTAGGCTGGATTGCCTCTTCAAGATGGGAGTCTCTGCCCCACCCCCATATCCCTACCAGGCTGCCACAGGGAAGGCTCGGGCCTGACAGAGGGGTCCTGTGCCAGAGGCCTGTTCCCTGCCCCTCTCTGTGCTCTCAATCCCAGTCTGAAACCAGTACCCTCTGGTCGCTGGCAAACCAGGTGGGCGTGCTATTTGTTCTCAGAGATGGTTCCCAGAGCACATTTCTGGTTGTGCCCAAAGGCGAGAGGGCTGGCTGGGTGGTTCTTTCCCAGCCGGCAGAACAATGGCCATTCTGAGTGACCCTTAGAGTGGGTGTGTGAGTGTGACTGAGGAGGTGTCTGGGCAGGGGACCTCACACAGCCAGAGGAGGGTGGAAGTGGCCTCTAAGCTAGCACCTGTTAAAAAGGCCTACCTGACTGAGTTGGGGAGGGAGAGTGGAGGTGCTGAGAAGGTGGAATAGCAAGACCCCCACCCCACTTTGTGCCCTGATAGCTTGGTGGCTCCCTGCCACTGCCTACCACCTCTTCTCCGTCTCAGAATCACAGAAACATAGACTGCTAGAACTTCCTGGGACCTGGGGTGGTCTGGGCGTCAGGCCCCACTTCATAAACCAAGGGGGAGGTCTCACAGCCTGTCTACCCTTCCCCAGGTCCCCGAGCTGCCAGGCCAGCTTTCCTGGGCTGCCCACATTTCCTGATGGGATTCCTCCTCCCCACCGTCAGGGTCTCCATGCTGATGAGCAGGGAGAGGGGAGGGATCTAGGAGAATGTCATCCCCCATCTCTGTGGACTAGAGATGGGGAGAGGGGAGTGGGGGAAGTGTGTGGGTGGCAGGAGTGGGCTGTCTTTCCCAGGGCAATGCAAGCACACCCAAAGCCTGGGAGGGTGGGAATGTGGCAGCTCTGTGAGCAAGCTGCAGCCAGTGGACAGGACCAGGGGCAAGGCTTTGCTGGGGGCCACAGAGGATTGAGAGGCTTTTGAGATGGAGAGAGGGTGGGAGACCCTAGGATGGACTATGAAACTCAGGAGCAGGCGTTCTCAAGGACTGAAGATGGCAACAATTAGCTCAGGAGCCACTGGGAAGGCCAGATGTTTCTCACCCTAGAATCTGGTTTTTGCCAAATAAGGGTTGGTCATGGAGTGTTCATTTATAAAGCCTTTTTTCTTCTAAGGGAAAGAATGCAGGAGAAAAAGCTGCTAAGTCCTGCTGGTTCTTAGGGCTGAGGCTCAGGTGGCCAGGATGCATTCTGTCTGGGCATGTAGGGAGGTGTTTTTGCCATCAGAGTAATGTGTTTCTTGGGCTGGGGAGCACAGAGGGGGAGGAGGAGGAGGACTAAATGAAAAGTTGTTCCCAGCCTGCATATGAACAATTAATGACGCACAAAACCGACAGGAGGGAGACAAGAGCATCAGGTTCAAGATTCCCTCCATTAAAAAAACCAAGATGAAGAAAGGAGGAAAAAACAGATAAAAGTAAGACAGAGCTTCCTGCCCCGTTGAACTCAAACCCAGACTGCATCTGCCTTGGACTTTATCAGAGCCCCCGATCTCCAGAGAACTGGGATCTGAAATAGGTCCCCCTGTCCCCTCCTTGACTGCACAGTAAGTGAAGCAGAAGCACTGAGATTTTTTTTTTTTTTTTTGTGAGGAAGATCAGCCCTGAGCTAACATCCATGCTAATCCTCCTCTTTTTGCTGAGGAAGACAGACTCTGAGCTAACATCTATTGCCAATCCTCCTCCTTTTTTCCCTCCAAAGCCCCAGTATGTAATTGTATGCCATAGTTGCACGTCCTGCTAGTTGCTGTATGTGGGACGTGGCCTCAGCATGGCCGGACAAGCGGTGCCTCGGTACGTGCCCGGGATCTGAACCTGGGCCGCCAGTAGCGGAGCGCGTGCACTTAACCGCTAAGCCACGGGGCCGGCCCAGAAGCACTGAGATTAACCTGACAACACTTTGGGAAGCCTCCAGCCTGGGGTTGCTTGGCTAGGATGTCAGCAGGTAAAAGCAGAGGAGAGCAGGAGTATAGGGTGGGGGGCTGGAGAAGAGAAGGGAGGTAGAGCTAGAGGCCATGGAAGAGGGGGAGGAGAGAGTGCAGAGCCCCAGGAATGGTGTCAGAGCTGCAGCCAGCTCTGCCTTTCTATCCCAGGGAAGCCAGGAAGAAACGACCAGGCCCTCAGTGGCCTTTAGACTGGGCCCAGGTGTGACTGGCTCCAGGCAGAGTCCTCTGGGCAAGTTATTCTGGAAAATGGAGGGAGAAGGAACTCAAAATCCTGAAGAATGAAAACCTACACTTGGAAAATTATGGACAGCTTCTACCAACTCCCCCAACCCACACCCATATAGTACTGTGTGTTATTAACTCCTGGAAATGCTTCTATGTGTGAATTCTACTTTTGTATTCATATGTTGAGACGGGCCTTATGGTTTCTCTGTCTTCAGAGCACACTTCTCGTAATTACTATTGTTATTTTTATTGTCATGACCGTCCCCGAGTCTGGTGAGGCTAGCACAGTGTCTACAAGGAAAGGGATGAAGTTAATATTTACATCACATAATTATATCATTATCGTGTCTGTGTATTTCTGTGCTATTTGACTGATGCCATCTGCATGAGCTGGAAATGAAGAGCCTTCCTCGTCCATTCCAGGAGGCAGAAGGCCACCCTAGGTGGTATTTTCTAGGAGGGAGGGAAATGGGCAGCAGGGGAAGGAATCAGAAGGCTTTGTCTACGAAGCTCAGATTGCTTATTAAATTAGGAAAATCCTGCCCTGTGGGCTTCTGAGACTGACCTTCTTGGAACTTCAAGAGGCTCTTGAGCTGGGAAAAAAAACCCCAAAACTGCTGGCAAAGGGCAGCTGGGCATGTAGGCAGCGCTGCCCCTTTCTCACAATAACACTTGATATCTGTAACAGCAACTCTTGGCCTGGCGCCTGTCTTCATCCCAAGCCGCATACCAACGTATATTAAGGCCACTGTGCTCTTGCCTGGGGGCCAGATTGTGCTGCGGGGGCTGCAGCTTCTGGGGAGGAAGGGAGGCCCCGGGAGTCTGGCCTATTGGGTGTGCTGCAGAAGGCATTTCTGACCATGGCTCCCACTCCCCCAGTGATATCATGCCCCTGCCCACAGAGCAGACTCCACTGGTGCTGGAGGGAGATGGGAAAAGGCAGGGGTGCTTTAAAGATGGGAGTGACATCACCCCACCTCACCAGGGAGACTAGCCTCTTGCTTGGGTGGGCCCCTCAATCCATGCTATAGGCTAGGGGGGCTTAAGCTAACAGATTAGTCATCAGTCCCATCTTGCAGCCCAGGCCCTGGAGTGGGGCCCCTCCTTTTGCCCCCCTGGCCACTGCACAAACACCCAGGCCTGAGAGAACCTGAAACTCCGTTGCCCTGCCCCAAGCCATCATCACCACTGACTGAGAAGCATCACCAGAGCACCCACTTGGTGCAGAATGCTGGACGGGGAGGAGTGTGTGAATGAGACCTCCACAGCCCCCTTTTAGAAAGTCCCCCCACTTCCCCTCCCACCTCCCATCTTGAGCCCTATTTCCTGTCTCAGGGATTTCACTCTATCTTCCTCTCCCAGGTTTTTCCTCTAAGTCTCATACTTCCCCTGGTCTTTGGGCCTCTGTTTCATGATTTCCCAAACACGTTTAGAGTTGAAAAGGGGCTTCGAGAAAGGGTCTAGTCAAGCATTTCCCAAAATGGGGGAAAATTGTCCTGTGGAACAGTTATCCCATGAGATCCTTCATGACAATGGTCAAATAAATATGGGGATTTCTGCCCCTAAGCCCCCATGGAGCTATGCATTGCCTGCTTGCTTGCCCTGTGAAATCCCTGAGAGGCCCGCAGTGATCTCTCCTTAATTTGAATGCCTACTATATGCTACATGATTCTCCAAAACATGTGGTCCTCTATCCGTTTTTCCCCTGCAGCAGCTAACATCTCATGTTTGTCATGTTTTGAAGAGTATACTTAGGGAAAATACTCATAGATTAATTCTCTCCTTTAAGACATGAGATTAATGTATTAATCTCTGCCTTCTAAGCCTGTAAACTCTGGGGGTCCTGACCTCCCAGATGGAATAGCCACATCTTGGCTTCCCATGGCCAGCACCAGAGCAGGACCTGCCACCCCAGGGCCAGGGCTGCCAAGCTGCCAGCCTGCCGACCCTTGGGCCTAGACTCTGCCCTGCCTCTGGCTCCAGTCCTCCCATACTCAGCTTGCCTCACCAGCCCACTTCCTGCTCCTCCTGTGTCTGGCATGGTCCTCTGTGGAGGGCTAGGATTCACCTCAAGCCCGTGGCTGTCCTGCAGTCCAACAGACTAGTTTCTAAGGAAGGGTGGAGGGCAGGGAGGGGGCAGAATAAGGGAGCAAAACAGCCCTTTTCACTGTCTTAAATGGCTACTGTGCTTCCCTTTCACTCAGCTAAGCCCAGGTCATCAGACAACTCTAGAATCTCCCAATTGGAGGAGTGGGCAGGTAGCAGGCATCAGGAGCCTGGACTGCCCCCTGCCAGGCTGTCCTCCCCCTTGGGCTGGCAGGGCCCCAGATGCAGCTAGAGCCAGGTAGGCCCCAGAGCATTCACTTGCACGCCTCTGCCAGTCCAACAAACTGATGTTGGTTGGACAGCCAGCCACATCACCTCTCAGAACTAAAGGTAGTTGCTCAGAAACAGCCCAATTTCCATCTGAGTAAAGGATCCACCCCAGCCTCACCCAAATCCTGGTCTACAGGGGCTCCTGAAAGGAGAAAGTTCAACACATACCAAGATAAAGTCCCAGGGTTTTCTGAGACTACAAACTTGGCACCAGTGTGGAGAGAGAATGAGTGGGTGGGGCTAGGTTCGGATCCAATAACTGATAAGGAGCTTAAGGATTGTTGGGCCCCCACCCTGGCTCCCCTTCCGGACTTGCCCACCCACTTGGTGTACAGGAGATGAGGCAATGGCAGTTGTGGCCCTATGCCCACTTCCCACTGCCCAGCCCCTGCCTGCCTTTGCTGTGGGTACCACTGCTGGGCCCTCTCCCTTAGAGGCTGCATCCTAATGAATCCTTTCACTTTCCCTGCTGGATTTTCATCAAGGAAACTCCTGGTTCCTCAATGCAGCCTTTAAAAAATCATTCTCCACTGAGGATGGGAAATGCTGCACAGTCTCCAGGGAGGCCTCAAAAGGGATGCCCGCCCTTATCCTCACACGAGGCCCCCAGCAGTCAGCTAGTAGCTTGCACTAGCTGAGGGGGGACTCAGGTGATCAGTCTTGACTGCTTTCCCCTAGGGAGAAAGATGACTGGAGTGCACCCTAATCCATCCCAACGGGGTGCATTTCACTGCTATGGGCATCCCATTGGGCAGAGAGGGAAGACCAGGGCAAAGGGGCAGTTGTGGACTGGCAAGGATGCCAAAGTGAATCAACAGAGTCCTAGAGCAGAGTCCAGGTGTCTGCCGTCAAATGGAGGGGACTGTACTAGGGACACTCAAAGCCCAGATAGGCCTGTTAGGAGGCAAGAGAGGCTTTGCTCTCACAGATCAAGGTATAGAAGAACGATGCGGCAGACCAGCAGCTTGCTTTATGGACATGACCTCATCTGTTCACTCTGCTCCACCCCCACCCCCAGCTGATAAGAATCTGGTGCTGTTTCCTGTAGTCCAAGGGTCTCAGACAATGGTGTGAATGGCTGGCCCTACTGGAAAGGACATTGTTCAGGGAAGAAAAAACAACACACCAGCACAAAGCCAGGGCAGGACCTGTCTAAATGTAAGGGTCTGTTTACAAATCCATGATTTCCAAGGGGAGGAACACAATGGGGAATTGTTTTTCGAGAGGCTGGAGTCACCTCTAGAATGCTCCTGGGGGCTGGGGATGGCTTTGATGACCCAAACACACCTCAGATGCTCTGAGAGGGATGGACACTGATGGCGCAGATGCTTTCCTGTTTATCAGAGGTGCAGATGGGGCAGGGTCAAGAAACAAGTTTACACCAAAGACAAAAGGGAGGAGCTTCTGGGCCTCACTCCTTTCATCAGGGCCTCATGCTGTCACACCGCTCAGGGACCCCAGGGTTAGGGGGGGTTTGCTAGGGGGAAGCAAGAACAGGTTTTTGTTTTCTGAAAAACATCAACTCTTTGGTTTATGGCCTCCAATTGTCAAGTTGCTTTTTGGAAAAAAAGTAAAAGGCATGAAACTCTTGGAAATAGCTTACCCCTCTGGGATGGGGCTCCCTGGCTTAGTCACTAGGGAGCCTTCTCACACTTGGGGGCCCTCATGATGCTGCAACTCACCTCCAGCCAGCCTGGGAACACACAGAGAGCTGACGCAGTGTCCGTGGCATCAGGGCCAATGGAGGTGCTGTTTCTCATAGCAACCTCCAGCCCTGCCCATAGGAGGTTAGAGCCTTTGAACCACCCACCAGAGGCTCTGATGTCAGTGTGTGTGTGTGTGTGTGTGTGTGTGTGTGTGTCTGTCATAGGAGGGAGAGGCAGAAGAGGAACAGAACCACATCACCTATTCCCCTTGGGACTGGCAGTCCCGTTTTCAGGAGTAGGAGGAGGGCATCTGGGGTTAGAAGGGCCACTTTGGCTCTGGAGAGACCATGAAGGCAGTTCTGTTGGAGGATTTGACCTGTGATGGAAGTGTCATTAATAACTTTTATTCTAATCTCTAAACCCAGGAGCACACTTCATGAATAAACTCAAACGGACACGTTTAGAACAAGTGAAGATCAGTAAATCTAGTGCAATCCCAAAATTGAAGCAAGCTTTCATAAGCCATTCTCAACCTTCCAGGTCTGAAGGGTTATAATCTTCTTGCTCAACATGTTAACAGTGCCCTCTGGTGTTTGACAGCAAAACAATAAGCTTATGAATACAGGGTATGAGCACATCCATCAATTTAGTAGACATCAAACTGCCTCTGAATGTCGAGTCCCAAGCCAGACACCACAAGGGAAAGAAAGGTTAATAAGAGGGACAGGTCCCTGCCCTTAAGGGGCTTCCAACTGAGTAGGAGAGACAGATCCACAACAGTAGGACCAGATGGAGAAATGACACGAGCTATAATAGAGGTATAAGCAGAGCCCAGGGAGAGTGCCTAGGGATGAAGAAGTGGCCCTTAGGTGGGGTTCAACAGGCTGAGGATAGAGGTTAGGGCTCTCTATACTGCAGACCCCATGCTCAGGGCCCGGTATTCCAGGGTAGCCAGGGAAGAGTGCCCGTGGCTGGGGTGTCCTGGGAGATGTAACTATGTAGGGCCATATTTGTGGAAGGCCTTGGATGCCAATCTCAGCAGGGGCCACCCTAAGTAAAGAGCTAGTAGATGTTTTATGGTAATTAGCAGAGGGAAAAGGGTGGATGTGTCAACAAAGGAAAGGACATAGGTAACCGTGAAGAAAGAAGGCTTTTGCTGCAGTCCTGTGAGGCACAGAGGTTTGAGCTGAGCACTGGCAATGGGATGGAGTGGAACGCAAACATTTGACAAACAGTTAAATTGACAAGAAAGAGAGTGGATAAGCATAAAAGGAAGCAGAAGGAGATTCTGAAGTTTCTGGCCCTGGTTTATGGCTCCTACAAAGGTAAAGATTAGAGAAAGAAGAGCAGGTGCTTTGGGAATTTTTATTTAACATCTATTTCTACCCTCCCCAAGTGAACTATTTGTTCTAGGTCCTAAGTTATAAAACAGTAATTAATTCTAATAGACATATAATTTGTGAAAACAGGTATTTAAAATATACAAGATGAACCTGGAGCATCTTATAATGCCAAAAAGTAAAGAAGTGCTCAAAAAACTAAACAAAACACACAATAATGGGGGTATGTGAAAAGAACACAACAGCTCCCAATAGCCAAAAATAGAACAATTTTAGTAACAAAATAAATAAAGTAGTATTGGATTATAACCCAAAGTATACTATACATATCCATGAGTCCATATTCATATAAACAAATCATTGAAAAAATAAATAAGTGGGAGAGAATAGGTAAATTTCCCACAGAAAGAATTCCAAATAATTTATGTAGATACTCTGTCCTCAAGGAGGGAGGGGGCATAAATCCCTACTCATTAATTGTGGGATACACAGAGTAACTTCCTTCTAAAAGGTACAGTGTGGAAAGGGGGGAAAAGGAGTAACTTTACAGTGGAAAAACCGACAAACACTACCTTGGCCAGATGATGAAGATCAACATCAACAGTGATGTCATGTTGATAGAATGTAACTTCGATATGATACAATGAAAATGGCACTTTATCTATGTGGTCTTCCTCCCCCAAACCCATAACCCTAGTCTAATCATGAGAAAAACATCAGAAAAATCCCAGTTGAGGGGCACTCTACAAAATACCTGACCAGTACTCCTCAAAACTGTCAAGGTCATCAAAAACAAGGAAAATCTGACAAACTGTTACAGCCAAGAGGAACCTAAGGAGACATGACGACTCAATGCAATGTGGTATCCTGGATGCGGTCCTAGAATAGAAAAAAGACATTAGGTAAAAACTAAGGAAATCTGAATAAAGTATGGGTTTTAGTTAACATTAATGTATCAATATTGGCTCATTAATTGTGACAAATGTACCATACTAATGTAAGATGTTACAAATGGAGGAAACTGGGTTTGGGATCTATGGGGACTCCCTGTACTATCTTCACACTTGTTCTGTAAATCTAAAACTATACGAAATTAAAAGTTTACTTAAGAAAAAAGCCTGGTTATTTAGAGGAGAATGACTAATTAGGCCCAGATGAAGAGTAGAACATTTCAAAGTTGGACTTCTCAGCTTACAAGAATGGGGTTGGCTATTAACATCAATGGAGAGTAAAGGTATAAAGATTAAGAAATAGTTAATAGGTGTGTGTGTGTGTGCGCGTGTGCATGCACGTGCATATGAACTGTTCTGCTAGGTACCTATGAGGCCACCTGCACACAGAGGTTGGGCAGCTGCATGTCTGTGTGACAAAAAGCACCCCCTAAATCCCACCCCTGCCATAAGCTCCATCTCCCACCCACTGCAGCTGGAGTCCAGAGGGCACTGTTAGTGGACTATTACTTTCAGTTAAGATGGTGTTTCTCATACTTGTGTAGTATACAAATGGAGTTTTTTTTTGATGAGGAAGAGTGGCCCTGAGCTAATACCTGTTGCCAATCTTCCTCTTTTTGCTTGAGGAAGATCGACCCTGAGCTAGTATCTGTGCCAATCTTCCTCTATTTTTTGTATGTAGGATGCCACCACAACATGGCTTGATGAGCGATGTATAGGTCCGCACCCGGGATCCAAACCCACAAACCCAGGGCCATGGAAGCCAAGCGTGCAAACTTAACCGCTATGCCACCAGGCCGGCCCCACAAATGGACTCTTTTTAAGGGAAAAGATACTACTCGAGGTGTCTGAGAATATGCCTGACGACCCAACTTATAGAAAGTGTAGATTAAGAAACTAAAGTCTTAATCCTGGAAGTGTCTTTCAGTTGTGAATTATCACCGTAAGAGTTGAGTCTTTAGGATAGGTAAAATACTATCTGTCTTTGAAATGAAAATCCACAATTTAAAAACTCTCTTGTCACTTGCAGAGCTCTGACAAAGTGTCCTTGGATGCCCAGGTTAAGAAGCACAGCACTGAGTCATCAAACCTATGGGAGAGGAAATGAAGAAAAAAGCATAGTCGTGGGGAGCCCTGGGATGATAGCTGTGCAGTAGGCCCAGTGAACGGCCAGCTCAGAAGGAGTAGGCTCTGCGAGGCAGGTCTTCCAGGAAAGAAGTGCAACTGGTAGTGATTTGATGCTTGGCCTGCCAAGAAAATTGTATTTTGAGGGAATTGATCATGTGGAACATTTGGGACAACTTAGCCATAGATACACAGCAAACTGAGCAAATAAAAAAGAGGCAGGTATTCATTTCAGGAAAAAAACGATGTACAGGAGAGGAAAAATAATCATAGTGTACTGCCTGGCTCGGTAGTAAACAGCATTTACATAGTCATAATAATGTAAACACTGAAGGTTAATTTAGCAAAAATTGTGATGCAATTAAAAAAACAGAGAGAATGAAAATGAGAAGGCTTTAAAGGTGCTAGATCTTTATGTAATAATAACAGGAAGCCAATAATGTCTAAGTAATAAGTTAAAGAAATGGCTAAAAAAGTAGAAAGTAGTTGCCTTTAGGGAATAGGACTCGAGGTAGGGAAGGGTGAGTCAAGAGACTATTTTTCATTATAACCCTTTTAGTACTTCTTATGACTTCTTAAAGTGTATGTTACTTTGCCTATATACTTTGATAATAAGAAAAGACACAAATCCCTCCCCCCATGTGATTCCAAGTGAATCTAGTGAAATCTGAAGGAGATCACTGTGTACACCTCACATGTAAGTCTCCATGAGTTAGCAACATTTGAACTGAGAACCCTGTCCTCCACCATTAGTGACAATGACTCAGGGAGACCCTGAGAACTCAGTATCTGGCAATGGTCCTGAACGTCCCCCACTAATCCAAATCCAATAAAATCATTAAAAGGAAACAAATGTGAGATTGGTTCTATTCAATTTCATGTTAGCTGCCTTGCTAACATGACTGCCCTGATATGGTTCCCTTACCCGAGATAGAAATGCCCGTGCCACCAGGCAGCGAGGGTTTGAGTGGAGGTATGTCTTTACTCAAGCTGAAGACCACACTGCCTGGAGTGAGTGGAGTCCCTTCTGCCCCATGTGAGCATGGCAGTCCCTGGCCTGTTGGAGTCCAGGGCCCTAAGCTTTGCAACAGTGACCTATTCTCAGTCCAGTGTGGACTCCTTTGCTGGCTCACCTCTCTGATGAGAACCTGTATGTTTATTTGCACAATGATGAAATCTCTGTCCCAGTAAAGTCACTTTTCCTGCAAACTACTTCCCTCCAAAGCAACGTGTTGATGTTCTAAATTGAAAGTTCTACATTTAATTCACTGAATTTTATAGATTAGAAGGATGAGTTTTCCTATGCTCTTACTCTACCCTCCAGATTCCTTAGTATGCTAGATAAATTCCAGAGTGAATTTATAAGGAGACACTAATGGAGAGAAAACCTTTATTTGCATAATGACAAACGTGAGGGAAGTAGGAAGAGGCATATGAGAACCAGATTAAGGTGGAAGAATCTCAGTGGAAGAGGAAGAGAAGAAAGGGCCCTCTGGGAATCAGGCAGAAAAAACAGAGGTGCTTTCATAGCCACAAACATGTTCTGTGGTCGACATCTGGACTCTGTTCTGTCCTCACGCTCCCCTGAGACTTCTCTTTCCTTGGTTCGTAGTCTCACTGCTGGGCCTTTTCTTTGTCTCACAGTCCCACAGTGAGACTGTGAGCTCCCTGTGGAGCTTCGTTCCCCAAACCCGATGGAAGAGCACAGCTTCATACCCAAATGTGCTTGGTAAGGCTACTCAGAAGCTGTTACTTGGATTTTTTGCAGTAATGAGTGATTTTGACACCCTTGGACCGCCAGGAGTGGCCCCTCCTGCCACCAGAGGACTCTGGTTTTTCTAATAAGGAAGGTCCTGACCAATCAGTCCAAGAAGGGCCTGGATTCTCTTCCAGGCTGGTGTCTCTGCAGAAATGCCCCCCGGATTGCAAGGTGCTGCTGCAGCAAGGGCTGTCACCTGAGTTTTCAGGTGTGTAGTCTGCAGTGAAAGAAAGGCGGGAGAGGACAACTCAACCCTCTGTCTCTCCCAGTCGCTGGTCCTTAAGCCCCTTCCTAGCCACTTTCCTTTCCAAACTAAAGGCACCAACTAAAAGTCCCCATCTGGTGGCAAGGCCTTCTCCTTTCTCATGCACCACAGGTCTCCCCCCGCCCACGCCAGTTCCCTCCAGTCCCACCTGTGGCTTCAGCAGAAGGTGCACACTCTTCACACTCCCATTTCTTACTGTTGGATCTAAGAGAGGAGCAGTCTTTATGGGTTCCGTGGGATCCACACGTAGCACACAGAATGAGGCACCACCTCCTACAGGAAGAGCCAAGGAAGGGTTGTGGGGACAAACAGAACACTAACTACCACTCTCGGGATGTTTGCTACTGGCCAGGCCTTTACTGAGGGCTTCCCAGGCATTTTTTTACTGTACATTTTACCCAGGACATATGTGTGGCTGTCCCAGGACCCCGCAGCCAGGCACAGACACTCAAAAGGTAGATTTGGAAAGCAATTGGCCCTGAGTGTCTCTCCACTGGGCACAAGGGGAAGCAGATCCTGCAGAGAGACCTGTTCACTTGCACTTGAGTGAGTCCCAGGCTGGTCAAGAATAGGACTTAGCAATTGTCTTCACCCTGAGGTCTGCAGAGAAAAGTGAGTTTCTTGCTTCTAATAACTGTGCCAAGGTCTAACACTAAGATGGCACCGATGAGAGATCTTTCTAGCCAGGAGCCTTTTCCTACCCTTCATCCTCAAAGCTGTCTCTGCCTTGTTCATACAGACAGATGGGGGCATCACAATGCTGATAGCGCTGATACAAATCTGAGAAAGCCCCTGGCTCGAGTTCCCAGGCAGCATCTCTGCAGTGGGAAAAGAAACAGTGAGTAAGGGACACATAATTGATTGGTGAAACCTTTGCCCACCTGGGAGGAAGTAGGAAGGACTGAAGCTAGCACAGCAAGAGAGTTCAACAGGCTGCCTGAGTACTTTCAACAAGGCTGGGCAAGTGGCCTGGCAGTGGGAGAGGGTTGAAGCAAGAGAGTAGAATGTAGGGGTTCCTTAGTTCCACGCTGGAACTCAAGAACCCAATCCCCCAGGGAATTCTGATCCCCAAAGCATCCTTTTCAGAAACATGCCTATCCCCCCACCCTCACTTCCCCCACCCTGCTTTCTTTGATAATTGAAAAGTTCTCCCTCCACCCCTTCCTTCTCTCTTCACTGTATGTCAATGCCTTGGCTGCTTCTTCATTCTCTGAACTATTCTCACACTCACCTCCTCTCTAGAAATCTAGGCAACCCACTCCCTGGCTCAATTCCTGCTTTAGAGTTTCCACTACCTGTCTGGAATATGAATTCCCATTCTTAGCATTTCTTGAGGAAACTCTTCTCGATTGTTACACTGTGGACATTTGAAGAAATGCTTTGCTGATGTGTGGGCATATTTCTGTAAGAGAAACACGGAAGAGCTTTGTGTTTGTAAAAGCACTATCTTTGATCACCTTCTTTCCGCCTCCACTCTCATCTCACAAAGAGGATGTTGCTAAGAGAGCTTGACTGGGGGTTACAGGAAAAGAAGTTTGGGTGGGCTAGGGTGAGGGCTGCAAATCCGGGTGTCAGACCAGGGGCCAAAAGCTCAAGAGAGCTCCCAGGAGTGCCTCAGCTGTCATCTCTGACCATGGGGCTTGGCAGTGCTGACCGAGGAGGGATCAAGTACTTGGATACGTGTTTCCCTTTCCTTCCATCCCAGGAAGCAAGGCTGATTTTGAGGCTACTTGACTCTTTCTAGGATGAGTTCATTTGCTTTGGCCACCCTGAGGATTTTGCTCAGTCTAAATCTTATCACGGAGGTCCTACAGGTCAAGAGTGACCAGAGACTGGGCTGACTTCCTCTGACTGCCTGGAACTAGCCCTGCATACAGGCCTCCAGCATGGAGCACAGAAGCCAGAGATTGCCTGAGTATTCCCAGGATGCTCTGAACTAGGGCAATTGTGGAAGGTCCTCAGGGCAGAGAAAGCCCCACCTGTATGCACTTGCGGTGGTAGATAGTCTGACTACAACATGGGCTCTGGATGTTTTCAACACTTGCTTGAGATAAGTTTTCACAACACAAGACGCAGCTTTCCTCCCCTACGTTCTCCTGTTGGATGTCCTGTTTTGGGCGATGTTTTCCACAAAATGATCTGTGGCAGAGTAAACAGACTCGGTTTCTGGTTTGTCGTTGATACAGTTTTCCAGCTGCCCGGCCTAGGAAGGGCAGCCACCACCTAGGCGATGCCCAGTGAACATCCACACTCATGGAAAGGAGGAGGAGCAAGGTGAAGAACAGCCATATGCCTTCTCACAGCTGCTTTCCCACTGAGTAAAGCTCCCGGCACTGTCTCCAAAGCCTCGCTTCCTGAAAACCCCACTTAGTTCTGAGCAGCTGTCTAAGAACCCCAGCTGTTTGTAATTTAAGAAGGGGCTGGGAAGCAAGAAGTAACCCCTGTGAAATCTCCAAGACACTGTTTCTCATTATTGAATGGAGGGACAGATTCACTGGTGAATCAAAACAGGCCCGTGAGAACCAGACTCTGATTTCATTAATGGCTAATTAATACCAAGTTGCAAAAGAGCAGCCTGACTTTTCCCCTTCATCACTCACTTGTACTCTCCAAAAAACTGTGAAAGGCAACCCCTTTCTTGGCCACAAGGAAGATGGAAGCTTCTGACGCACTGATCCTTCTGGCAGTTGATGGCAGCTCCCTTTTTCTTGCACACAAAGCAGATCTGCAAATGAGATCCCAGGCTCAGGGCCCCAAGAAAGACAGACAGACATTCTGTGGCACATCAGTCTATGGAATGGAAAGCCATTCCCTTTCCTCAGTGAACCTGAAAGCTCTGGGGCACCCTGAAGCTGAGCTTCAAGCACTGAATTCTTTTTTGTTTTCCCAGGATATTTCTCCCTCTCCTCACTTAGGAAACTACACTCCAGAGAAGCATAGAACTTAAAAGAAGGACCAGTTGGGAAATCCAAGAGTCTTTTGACTTCTAAACTACCAACTAGGGAAAAGAACAGAAACAGGGATGATGAGAGAGCTATGAGAAGAGGCCTACCCCAAGGCCCCCATTTCAGGGGATTCTAACCTTCCTAGAAGCCCGGGCTGCCTCCTTTTTGATGTCTTCAGGCAGGAATCCATAGAAACCTCTGTTGGACTGGCCCCTCTGAGGCAGCTTGCTAGATAGGATCTAGGGGGGCAGCAGAACCAGGCTGTCAACATTGATGATCAGTGAAACAGTCTAGTGGGGTGAGGAGGATGACAGGGTGAGAGAGCTAAGAAATAGAGTGTGGTAGAATATATATGCATTTATAGGGTAATTTACTTAACAAAGGCTTACATAGCATTAACTACATATTGGGTACTCTAAGAGCTTTTCAAATATTAACTCATTTAATCCCTATAACAACCTTAAGAGGGAGGTACCATCATCATCCCCATTTTATAGGAGAGATCATGTGACTTGCTCAAGGCCACAGAACTCCAGACCCTGGCTTCTGACCCACCTTTGTGCTACACTGCCTCTCATTTACTGAGGACTGCTTTTGGGTGCTGAGCACTTTGGGGAAACACTCCCTGTATATGGACTTATTTTATGTCCACCACAACCCTGTGATACAAATGCTATTGTCATCCTCATCTTACAGAGGAGGCTACTGAGGTGTAGTGCGCTAAGTGACACGGCTGGGGTCACTCAGCAAGGAGGCAGCAGAGCCAGCATTCACATCCAGGCCCACGGAACCCACACTCTTACCCCTACCACTGTACTGCCCCTCAGTGCAGAATAAATACTCTTTTCAGAGTATATTCTCTACAGAAGGGAAACAGGGCTTTAAAATCTCCTGACTATAGTCATTCTGCCTTATAGGCAAAGAATTGAATTTTTCTTTAAAAACACACTTTAAAAGGCCTTTGGTTTCTTTTTTTTCTTTTTTTTTGCGAGGAAGATCAGCCCTGAGCTAACATCCGTGCTAATCCTCCTCTTTTTGCTGAGGAAGACCGGCTCTGAGCTAACATCTATTGCCAATCCTCCTCCTTTTTTTCCCCCAAAGGCCCTGTAGATAGTTGTATGTCATAGCTGCACATCCTTCTAGTTGCTGTATGTGGGATGTGGCCTCAGCGTGGTCGGAGAAGCGGTGCATCGGTGCGCGCCCGGGATCCGAACCCTGGCCGCCAGGAGCAGAGCACGCGCACTTAACCGCTAAGCCACGGGGCCGGCCCAGGGCCTTTTGTTTCTGAAAAGCACGCAAAGCAGAGTGTAAAATGGGAAATCAAGGAAAAAGAAGCTACACTGCTATATACCCATAAACAATGTATGTGTACTATATTGGAAGAATGTCAGCACCCCAGCCCCACCCCAAGAATCTTCCAAAAATATTGGGGAGGGTGCTGGATTTCCTGCAGTAATTACATGTAACGTGCAATGGGGGCTCAGGTTATTTTATTTTTAATTTTTTTTGTGTGAGGAAAATTAGCCCTGAGCTAACATCCGTTGCCAATCCTCTTCTTTTTTGCTGAGGAAGACTGGCCCTGGGCTAACATCTGTGTCCATCTTCCTCTACTTTACGTGGGATGCCGCCACAGCATGGCCTGACAAGCAGTGCGTTGGTGTGCGCCCAGGATCTGAATCTGTGAACCCCAGGGTGCTGAAGCGGAGCGCGCGAACTTAACCACTCCACCACCAAGCCGGCCCAGGTTATTTTATTTTAACATTTTAGAAAAGACGACCTTACAAGGTTAGAGGACTTGAGGACACTTGGATTATAGCTATATGTTCCCAATTAGGCTTAAAACATATCTATTTTAATACTAATTATTGCAGGGCTTTAGGACTACATGAGTAATTTCTGTTATATTTATAAGTATTATTGTTTTTTACAATGAGCATGTTATTACTTCTATAAACATAAAAATCAACAGTGAAAGATTAGAAACAATGTAAATGTCCTTTAATAGGGGTTTGTTTTAATACTTTTGGGCACACCTATACCATGGAATACCAATTAGGTATTAAAAAAAAAAACTAGATCAATATGACCTATATAGAAAGATATCCATAAGTATATGAGGTAAAAAAAGAAAAATACAAAACACTGTGTATAGTAGGTTTATTTTTATGTTGACAATGTATATGCTTATAAATGCATTGAAATTAAACAAGACCTGACACCAAAACCAGACAGGACTTACAAGAGAGGAAAATCACAAACCAATCTCGCTCATGAGCATAGATGAAAAAATGAAACAAAATATTAACAAATTAAATCCAGCACCATATAAAAAGGATAATACATCACAATTAACAGGGTTTATACCAGAAATGCAAGGTTAGTTTCACATTTAAGAATTCAATTGATGTAACAAACCACATTAACAAAATAAAGAAGAAAAATCATGATCATCTTAATAGACGCAGAAAAAGCACCTGACAAAAACAACATACATTTATGATACCCTCAGCAAACTAGAACTAAAGGAGAACTTCTCAATCTGATGAAAAGCATTTATGAAAAACCTACAGCTAACATCATATTTTAATGGTGAAAATTGGATGCTGCCCTCTGATATTGGAAACAAGAAAAGGATATTCACTCACATAACTTCTATTCAACACTAGATTGAAGGACCTAGCTAGCTAGTACAATAAGGCAAGAAAAATTAGAAGACATAAAGATGGGAAAGGAAGAGGTAGAACCGTCTTTATTCACACACAACATGATTGTATACACATGAAATCCTAAGGCACTTACAAAAAAAATAAAAACAACTACTGAACTTTATTAATAAGTGAATTTAACAAGATTGCAGGATACAAAATCAATGTACAAAAATAAATTGCATTTCTATATACCAGCAACACACTTGAAAATAACATTTAAAAATACCATTTACAATAGCACAAAAAAATCACAAAATATTCAGGAACACATTTAACAAAAAATGTGCAAGACTTCTTCACTAAAAACAAATATTGCTGATGCAGGGGGCCGGCCCGGTGGCGCAAGTGGTTAAGTGCGCGCACTCCGCTGCAGCAGCCAGGGGTTCGCCAGTTCGGATCCTGGGCGCACACCGACGCACCGCTTGTCAAACCATGCTGTGGAGGCGTCCCATATAAAGTAGAGGAAGATGGGCATGGATGTTAGCTCAGGGCCAGTCTTCCTCAGCAAAAAGAGGAGGATTAGCAGACGTTAGCTCAGGGCCGATCTTCCTCACAAAAAAAAATATATATTGCTGTGGTAAAATTTTAAAAGAACCAAATAAATAAATAAATGGGGAAATATATCACATTCACGGCTTGCAAGACTCAATATTATTTGTCAATTCTTCCCAAATTGATCTATAAATTCAATGCAATCCCAATCATAATCCCAACCGGCTTTTTTTTTAAAGAAAAATTGACAAGCTAAATATAAAATTTATATGGAAAAGGAAAGGACCTGATAACCAAAACAATCTTGGAAAGGACTGCAGAACTTACAATAGTTAATTTCAAGACACTATAAAGCCACAATAATCAAGACAGTGCAGTATTTGTGTAAGGATCAATGCACAGATCAATGACATAAAATAGATCATCTAGATCCACAGATATATGGTCAACTGATTTTGACAAAGGCACAGAGGTAACTCAACGGGTAGGTAAAGATTTCCTGGGACACCCAAACAAGCATTAACCATAAAAGAAAAAATTCATAAACTGGACTTCATCAAAATTAAAAACTTTTATTCTGGGGCCGGTCCTGTGGCTTAGTGGTTAAGTGCGCGCGCTCCGCTACTGGTGGCCCGGGTTTGGACCCTGAGCGCGCACCGACGCACCACTTCTCCAGCCATGCTGAGGCGGCGTCCCACGTACAGCAACTAGAAGGATGTGCAACTATGACATACAACTATCTACTGGGGCTTTGGGGAAAAAAAAAACAAAGGAGGAGGATTGGCAATAGATGTTAGCTCAGAGCCGGTCTTGCTCAGCAAAAAGAGGAGGATTAGCATGGATGTTAGCTCAGGGCTGATCTTCCTCACAAATAAATAAATAAATAAATAAACAAACTTTTGTTCTTCGAAGGACATCATTAAAAAAATGAAAAAGACAAGCCACAGACTGGGAGAAAACAGTCATAATACACATATCTGAAAAAGGATATGTATCCAGAATATATAAAGAACTCTTACAACTCAATAAGACAAAACAACCCAACTTTTAAAATGCACAGGGGGCCAGCCTGGTGGCATATCGGTTAAGTGCGCGTGCTCCGCTTTGGCAGCCCAGGGTTTGCAGGTTCAGATCCTGGGTACACACTGAAGCACCGCTTCTCAAGCCATGCTGTGGTGGCGTCCCACATAAAGTGGAGGAAGATGGGCATAGATGTTAGCCCAGGGCCAGTCTTCCTTGGCAAAAAGAGGAGGATTGGCAACAGATGCTAGCTCTGGGCTAATCTTCCTCACACACACAAAAATTAAATTAAATAAAAAAAACTGAAAAAAACAAAATAAAATGGACAAAATATTTGTATAGAGACTTCACAAAAGAAAATGTGTGAATGGCCAATAAGCACTTGAAAAGAAGCTCAAAATTTTAATTCATCAGAGAAATACAAACGAAAACCACAATGAGATACCAATACACACCTAGTAGAAGAGCTAAAATTAAAAAGACTGATGGGGCCAGCCCCTGCGGCTTAGCGGTTAAGTGCGCGCGCTCTGCTACTGGTGGCCCGGGTTCGGATCCCGGCGTGCACCGACGCACTGCTTGTCTGGCCATGCTGAGGCAGCATCCCACATACAGCAACTAGAAGGATGTGCAACTATGAGATACAACTATCTACTGGGGCCTTGGGGAGAAAACAGGGGGAAAAAAAGGAGGAGGATTGGCAACAGATGTTAGCTCATAGCCGGTCTTCCTTAGCAAAAAGAGGAGGATTGGCATGGATGTTACCTCAGGGCTGATCTTCCTCACACACACACACACACACACACACACACACACACACAAAGACTGTAGCACCTAAAAAAAAAAAAAAGATTGACAATATCAAGTTTTGGCAAGATTATTGTGCAACTGGAACTCACATAAATTGCTAGCGGGAGTGTAAACTGGTACAACCACTTCGGAAAGTGATTTGGCAACTTCACATAAAGTTAAACATATAGTTAGCATACAACCAGTAATTCTACTCCTAGGCATTTGCCCAAGAGAAGTGAAAACACGTGTTCCCAAAAAGGCTTGTACATGAATGTTCATAGCAGCTTTATTCATAATAGCCCCCAAATGGAAACAATTCAAATGTCCATCAACAGGTGGATAAATAAGCAAACTATAATATATTCATACAACAGAATACTACTAGGCAATAAAAAGGCACAAGCTACCAACGCATGCTACAACACAGATGAATCTCCAAAACACTGTGTTGAGTGAAAGAAGCCAGATACAAAAGAGTACAAACTGTATGATTCCATTTATATGAAGTATAAAAACAGGCAAGAGTAATCTATAGATCAGAACTGTGATTATCTCTGAGGGGCTTGACTGGAAGAGGGCAAGAGGGAACTTTCTGGGGTGATGGAAGTATTTATTTTTATTGGGGCAGTGTTTACATATGGATATACATTATATCCCCACGATTTATGAGTTTATCAAAACTCATCAAACTGTACACTTAAAATGGGTGCATTCTATAGTATGTAAATTATACCAAATAAAAAAAGAATACTGGGAAAAGTATTCTTTTCCAGTATTCCAGTATACTGGAAAAAGTAACTGGAAGGACTGTTGATAGCATTTGAGTCTGGGCAGAGGGAGAAGGATTGGGAATACGGTTTTGAGAAGAAACTTTTTATCATACATACTTTATACTGTTAGGATTTTATACTAGGTATATATAGTACTTTTTAAAAATTAGATTTTAAAAGAGAAAAGTTATTAAGAAAAACAAACAAACAAACAGGGTTATGGATCTGAGGCTGGAGGCAAAACGGAGAAGAGACTGTATAGCAAAAGCCCTGGGACATTCAAAGCAAAGGGGGCCTTATACTCACAAGACAGAAATAATGCACGCTGAGATCACCTTTCTGAAGAAATTCCCCTAATTTTTCGGGATCACCAGGTTCTCGAAGGCATAGCCGGCAAACTGGAAGAGAGAATGTTAAGAATTCATTTTGGGAGCATAACCATCTCTCTAAGTGCAAGAAGGAGTAGAGTATTGGGAAGAGGGTCAGTTTGACAAGGAGGGAGGTTGGGGATGAAGTGTTATTTGGTATCAGTTAGGTCTTTATATAATTTTGGCCATATTTGAAGGAGATGGCTGCAACTACTCACTTCGTATACTTTTGTCTCAAGTGGCTTTAATTAACTTATTTCTTGAACTTTGGATGTGACATTTAAAAATTATGAACCCTGAGTTCTTCAGGATCTTAGAGAATTTGGGAAGGAAGTAGGATTGACAGGGAGAGGAACAAGTTTGCTGCCCTACACAGGTGGCCTCTGCTGAGGTTGGGAGGCAGCGGCTGAACAGAACCTCCAGTCTTTCTTACCAGGCCCTAAAGATGGCTTCCTCTGGATTACCCTCCTTGTCTTGGCAGATTTTCTACAAAAGAGATGGTGGTCTTTGAGGATCCTGTTGATCACCCTTGCAACATTTCTCTCAAAATGCCATCCATGGGTCTGATAAAGGACCAAAATATCTAAAGGCTAAGACATCAGTTTCTTTTTCTATTTCATATTTTTTGAAAGCACAAAAAATACCCACTGAATTACTTGAATTACATGAGATTGTAACCATTTTTCTGTTCCTAGTGCCTGTAGTGCCTGTGCTGAGTGAATGAATGTAAGAGCAAACCCCCTTTTACTCTTTTACTGTTTCTTCTGCCACTTACTTTGATCTCAGGTGGTACCACGTTCACAAAGCACAACAAAATACTAAAATTGATTAAGAATTTCCTGTTGCTAGGCAATATTCTTGGCTCTTTACATGTATTAGTTCAATGACTCTACAGAATGCTCTAAAAAGTGGGTGCTATTATTATGCATATTTTCCAGATGAGGAAACTGAGGCATAAAGAAATGAAGTAACCTGTCCCAGGTCACCTAGTTAGCAAGTGTTAGAGCTAGGATATGAATCTAGCCAATAGGGCTCCAGAGCCAGAACTTTACTACTCGGGACAGCCCTGGGAGGACAGGTTACTGAGCAGCTTCTAGGGGACCACTGGTGTGTGCTTTCACCACACCCAACCCTAGCTCTCAAGACCGTGCAAAGGGGGCAAAAAGTGCAGCATACCACAGGCTATTGGACAATTTCCCCAAACTCTCCTTTGTCACCTAATCTACCTCAATCTTTGACATTCCTTCTTCTTTTCTTTTACAGTCTTCATTCGTTACTGCCTTTCTATCTTGAATTCTTCTGTACTATTGTGAGGACAATACAGGCTCTGCCAGCTATAAATATAAACAAGTCAGCAACTTAATTGTACATTTGGTTATCAAGGTCCACATGGTCAAAGCAACAATGCACTTCACCTCCAACCCACGTGACAGAATAAAGGGGACCCGCCCAGTATCAACAATTATTTGATAATTATTATTAAATAATTAATTATAATAATTATATTTAATAACTATTATGTTGCATCAAGAACTATTCTAGGTATTTTACATGTGTTAACTCACAAAATCCTCATGCAGTAGGTACCATTTTATCCCCATTTTCAAGATGAGGAGACTGAGGCACAGAAAGGTCACAGAGAAGCCAAGGTCAGAATTCCTGCTATCACACAGCAGTATAAGAACTTGGAACCATTGCTTGAACTGGCTAAATGGTCCTTTGTGCCTAGTAAATGCATGAGGTAGCATGCAGGAAAAACGGCTCCTTTTGTCCCCAAGTATGGGTGCCTTAATTACACCCAGTAAAAGCTAGTTTAGGTAGCTCTTTCTTAGGGAAAGGAGCCTGTGGAATTTTGGCTGCCTAAAGGAAGAACTCCCTCTACCGAGAGACAAGCCATAACACTGACAAATCACCCTTTGGCTCCTATCAGTTCTTTCTACCAGGCTCAGGTGGCCATTGAGTTTAGGCCTGTTCTCAGCCTTGGTCTAGATCTGCGCCAAGAGTAAAAAGCCCAAAAGTGGAGAAGACATCCTGCCACTCCTCGCCCCACCAATGTCAGCAAACCACAAATTTATACGGTTTTCATTGGTTAAGGAGGAAATCCCTGGGCCGGCCCTGTGGCTTGGTGGTTAAGTGTGCGCGCTGTGATGCTGGTGGCCCGGGTTCGGATCCCGGGTGCGCATCGAGGCACCACTTCTCCGTTCATCCTGAGGCCGAGTCCCGCATACAGCAACTAGAAGGATGTGCAGCTACGACATACAACTATCCACTGGGGCTTTGGGGGGAAAAAATAAAATAAATAAAATCTTTAAAAAAAAAATAAAAAAAAAAAAGAGGAAATCCCTGAAAGTGAAGGGGGACAAAAAAAATAAAATCCACTCCTATGAAGGAAGGACTGAGTCTAGTCAGAGGAGAGGAGGACAGCATTTCTTAGAAGAAGAGCTGAGCGAATCAGGGCACTCCAGGGTCACACACTCCAGCATCCATCTCTTTAAGAGCACAGCTGGAGAGACTGTCAACTACTCTGCGTAAATACAACTACTAAGGCAACTAGCTGTTCGGAAAACTAAGGCTATACGGCCCTGCCTTCCTTTGTGTTGGCTCCATCTCCTCTTCTAACCCATGAGTTGCACTTGCAGAAGTAATGACATTTGATGGCTTCTTAATAAAAGCACTTGGACAGGCTGGAAGAGGAGAGAGAAGGGCGTGCACTTGAGCTGACTACTGAGCGGTTCCGAGTTGTTGGGGAAATCCCGACCATCTAGCAAGAGAAATAAAACCTTGACACTTCAGCTCTTTGCATCGTTGGACCAAGACGTTCCTTGTGTGAGATTTTGTGCACACTGTTAGTTACAGTGTACGCAACAATCTTCAAAGCACCTGAGGAGGGACGTTGCGAAATCGGGCTTCCACAAGCTGCTCAGTCCGAGATTCCTTAGCCGAGTGGATGCTCCCTTGAAATGGCTACCAAGTTGCTTCACTGTGGTAAGTGCCGGGCAAAAGCTGGTTGAGAAATTAAAAATAAATAAGCGTGTTCGGCCCCGCCGCCGCAAGAATAAACAATGATTTATTTGGAGAATACGTGTCGGTGAGGCCACAACCGTCCCCCACAGGTAACAGCCGGAGAGGGGGCTCAAGGAGCATTCCGCGGAAGCCAGACCAGGCTCATGTCGCGCCTGCCGGGCGGCTGCTGCGGGGCCGGGCCGGAGGTCGCCTCCGCCGCTCGCTCCTCACGGTAGCGCACGAGCCGCCGCTCCCGGCCGGGGCCGCCCGCCCAGCTGTCGCCGACGGCGCCGCTGTCCCGGAGTTTTATTCGTTGTCACAAGCCGTGGGAGCTACCTCACGGGCGGCCGCCCCGCGCGGTGACTGCGCCGACGAAGGGGGCGAGCGCGCAAACGGAGGCAGGGTCACGCGGACTGCGACGCAGGGAGACTGGGGCCGCGGAGACCTAGGCGACGCTGACCGTTGACAGAAGGGGACCGCTAACGGCCGCACGCCAACAGCCGCGCGCCCGCCCCGCCCTTTCATCTGGCACCGCCCCTTCTCTCTCCGCCCTTTCCTCTCCTGCCTCAAGCGCCCAACTCGGCTCTTGCCGTGCCCCTTCCTGTCGCCCCGCCCGCCCGCGCGAGCGCACCGGCCTCTGCAGTCGAACTCGTGGAAGACGAGCCCAGAGGCGGGGCGGAGGCCGTCGCGCCGTGGTGACGTAGTGCTGCCGGCGCGGGCGGGTGACGCCACGGGGCCCGTTGTCTGTGTGTGGGGCTAGGGGCCCCGGGGGCGGCGGGGGCTCCCGGCGGGGGCGGCGGTGTGTTGGGAGGGCCTGGACATGGCGCTGAGGGGCCGCCCCGCGGGAAGATGAATAAGGGCTGGCTGGAGCTGGAGAGCGACCCTGGTGAGGAGGGGACCAGGCGGGCCGGGGGCTGGGGAGGCCGGGTGGGCCCGGGACGCGCCTGCCTGACCACCACCCGCACCTCTTGTCGCCCCCGCCAGGCCTCTTCACCCTCCTGGTGGAAGATTTCGGTAAGAGCCTCTCCTACCCGCCGGATCCGGTCTGTGGGGGCCCATTCCTTCGCCCTCGCTCCACGGCCAGGGACGGCCCTCCCCGACTTTTTTCCTTCCCTGATCGCAGGTGTCAAAGGGGTGCAGGTGGAAGAGATCTATGACCTTCAGAGCAAATGCCAGGGGTGAGTAGCTTGGCGCCAGGGCCGCCCCTTAACATTCGAGGGGCTAGGGAGGGGGCCGGGGAAGAGGTAGTATCAGGAACCCCAATCTCCTGTAAAATCTCATGTAAGGAAGTGTCTCTTGCCTTTGGATGCCCTCCTGATCAAGCTGATATTTTTGTTTCTCCCAGTCTTCCCAGCACTTCCTTTTTTGTAGTAGCCTCTTCCCCCCAATACAGATCCTAACCATCCTTTGGAATACAGTTCAGCTGCCTTTTTTGTTCTTGGAGCAGGAAACTAGCCCCTTCTCTTGACCCAGGTCACACTGTGTCTTTTGTGCAGCTGTAATTTATTAATTACTGCTTCAATGTGCCCGTGTGCCTACACAATCCCTACACAAGGGTCTTGTATTGATTGGTTGGTGTGTGGCATCTGACAAGGCCCCTCCTGGGCCTTAGGGTCTTGTCTTGGTGGTCCTGCAGAATAGAAGTGTTAGTGACTGAACCGAGAAGTCGACTCTTATTTCCCAAGAAAGGAGGGACCGATATGGGTGTTCATTTGCTTCTCCGGCTGCACTGGGGCCCAGGCCTTGGGATTCACAAGTGAGAATTAGTGTTTAAATTTCTCATCAGAGTTTTTGTTTTCGCCTTACCTTCTGTTCCTACCCTGTCCTGGGCCATCAATTCCAGCTTTTCTTCTTTGTCCCAGAACCATAGATTTCATAAGGACACTGGGTGGATTCCTAGAGGACCACAGCCAGAAGCTGATGTTTGAGCTGCTTGTGGCTGGCTTCTGGGGTGTGAGGGCTCCAGGCCACTTTGGAAGGTGTTGGGAAGAAGCCAAGGGAGAAGTGGGATCACGGGAAGGGCACCTGAGTGATAACACAGGGCGAGGGAATAGACGGAGAAAGAAAGGGGATACTGATTGCCTTCCCCCACTTGGCTGGTCTAGCTCTGCCCCTTACTTTCCCCAGCCCCGTGTATGGATTCATCTTCCTATTCAAATGGATCGAAGAGCGCCGCTCCCGTCGCAAGGTCTCTACCTTGGTGGATGATACATCAGTGATTGATGACGATATTGTGAATAACATGTTCTTTGCCCACCAGGTCTGCTGGGCTCTGTGTTCTGTCTGGAGGGTGGGATGTTACCATTTTCTTTGCTTGGGAAGTGGAAGTGTAGGAAGGCAGGAGGAGGACATAGGCAGATACCACAGGTGGTGGTTATAGAAGTCCCTTGGCAGAAGGAACTGAGCTCTTATTCACTAAAAAAGGGAGTAGTATCTTTAGAGCTGAGTCCTCTCTCCATGTCCCCAGACACCTGGTGGGTATTTAGTTGAATGAACAAATGTTGGGCACAGATGAGGGGAGCTGATGAGGGTTGTTGTTCAGATATGATTGTCCCTCTCTGGGTCCCCATTCCTGATGAGTATGGGCTTGGGGTGAGGGATTCCGTGTATGGGTGATTGTTCTTGGTTTCACAGCTGATCCCCAACTCTTGTGCCACTCATGCCCTGCTGAGCGTGCTCCTTAACTGCAGCGATGTGGACCTGGGGCCCACCCTGAGTCGCATGAAGGACTTCACCAAAGGTTTCAGCCCTGAGGTAGGCCGCAGTGCCTTAATCCTGGCTCACAGATGGCTGGGCAGATCTGACCACCAAGGCCACTGGTAATACCACCACATGGCATTTGGCACTATGAGGCTTTTTCCTTTTCAAATGATAATTTACATTACATTTGACCCTTTAATTAATTGTGTAAGGCAATTGGTTTTAGGCCCAGTTGTCAGACCTAGGGAGGGAAAGAACATTCCTTAATGTTAGGACTTTCTTTATCAGGACTTTTTCTATCAGGCCATATTGCTCCCCAGTATCCACTGATTACTGTGTAAGGCCAGTAGAGCTCATCTCTGGGGCTCCGGAGCTCTCTTATCCCCCGACTAGCGCTTCAGGAGAGTTCACCTGTGCTTATTCAGGTTCCTAGAACGCCTCCAGGCCTGCTCTCTTGAGCTGTATTTCCCACCCAGAGGCCCACCTGAGAAGTTGTTCTCATGTGGCCTTATTTTCTTCCCTCTAGAGCAAAGGATATGCGATTGGCAACGCCCCGGAATTGGCCAAGGCACATAATAGCCATGCCAGGTGTGTGGGAGCTGTGGGAGCTGATGGGTGTGGGGATGAGGAAGGGTTGTCCCATTCTGGCCCTGACTGTGTCCTTCCCCAGGCCTGAGCCACGCCACCTCCCCGAGAAGCAGAATGGTCTTAGTGCAGTGCGGACCATGGAGGCATTCCACTTTGTCAGCTATGTGCCTATCACAGGCCGGCTTTTTGAGCTGGATGGGCTGAAAGTCTACCCCATTGACCATGGTAGGCGCTCTGAGCTGGGGGCCCATTGGGTTTCTCTGCTTACCTCCTAGGCAGCTGGGGCTCAGGGTCCCCAGGTGCTTGGGACCCAGTGGCAGGGGGGTAGGTGTTGAGGACATTTGGCTCTGGCTAGATGGCACCGTGTGCTGCATTGCTTGACTAGCCCCTGACTCCCTGGCTCACCTGCTCTCCATTCTCCATCCCACTCCTGGCTTGCCCAAACTCGGGGCTTCCCACCTGCTGACCCTTCATCTTGGTCTTCCCTAGGCCCCTGGGGAGATGATGAGGAGTGGACAGACAAGGCACGGAGGGTCATCATGGAGCGTATCGGCCTCGCCACTGCAGGGTAAGGGCCTTGTGCCTGCCCTACACTCTGGAGCTGTGCCCCGATTGGGAGGGACACAGAAAAGGGAACCAAGGCAGAGAAAGGCCAGATGACTTGTGCAAGGCCACAGGGCAAGATCAGGCTTCGATCTTGGGCTCCCAACTCCTTGCCCTATATCCCGTCCAGGCTGCCTATAGCCTGCTTCGGGATAGGCTGGGGAGAGGAAGGCCTTGGTGGAGCCCTGGGTGGCGGTGTGCTGGCTCACGTCCTGACAGGCCCCTCACACAGCTTGTTGGAAGGCACCAGCTCCGGTGCCTGGCATGCATGGCCAGCTGCTGCCCGCCTGTTGGGGTGGGGCCTGTACCTGTGGCTGCAGGTGTGACTTCGGGGAGCCCTGCCAGGATATCTGCCTCAACCTGATGGCGGGGCCCAGGCGGGAGCTGCTCTCACGGCTGCGGCTGTGACTGCAGGGAGCCCTACCATGACATCCGCTTCAACCTGATGGCGGTGGTGCCCGACCGCAGGATCAAGTATGAGGCCAGGCTGCACATGCTGAAGGTGAACCGTCAGACAGTACTGGAAGCCTTGCAGCAGGTGGGTACCCCTCCTGCTTGGTCCCTGCCCAGCCATCCCCTCCTTCCCCATACTGGGGCACCTGTTTCTGATTCCCAAATCACTAATGTGGATCTGGGCTTCAACTAACCACTCCTTTCCTTTTTTCCCCTTGTGGGAAAGGTGGGACTTGGGGTGGGGAGGGAGAATAGCTTCTAAGAGGAGGTTTGGCTGTTGTATTTCCCTGTCAGTGAGTAGCTGTTCAAGGTAGAGGTTGAGGTCTGCCTTTACTCCTCTGAGTCTTGGATTCTGTTTTCAGCTGATTAGGGTAACGCAGCCAGAGCTGATTCAGACTCACAAGTCTCAAGAGTCACAGCTGCCTGAGGAGTCCAAACCAGCCAGTGGCAAATCCCCCCTGGCGCTGGAGGCAGGCAGGGCCCCAGCGGCCTCTGAGAGCACCCACACAGGTACTGGAGGTCTTGGGGCCTCTCATGACCTCAGAGCCACTCCCTCATAGCTTGACCTGGGAGGCCCAAGCAGAGCATCTTTTTCTATGGAGGCACTTGGGCAGTGGTTCAGAGGCTCCTACAGGAGGCCTGCAGCTGGGTCCTGCAGCCCTCTCCCCTCGGAACATAGAGGGAGAGCAGTCCTTTCCTAAAGAAAGGGACCTGTAAAAGACTGCCCTTACCACAGGCCCCTGAGGCTTCTCTCAAATGTATATTCCCTTTCTGGTTTTCTCTAGAGGTTTTTTTCTTTCTGCTTCCCTCTCTTTTTCCTTCTTGTCCTTCTCCTTTCTTGCTGTGGGCCTGTGACTTAGAGCTTGCTGACTCCCATCCCACCAGCTGGCTCAGCTGTCCTTCTCTGGGAAGGGAGGGGGATCAGTGCTGTGTCACAGGACTGTGGAGACGGGGCTGGGAACAGCTTTTCTTGAGGATCTGGCTGAAGGTCCTTCTTGTGCTCCTTTCCCTCTCAGATGGTGTGGAGGAGGTGGCTGGGTCGTGCCCACAAGCCCCGACCCACAGCCCTCCCAGCAAACCCAAGCTGGTGGTAAAGCCTCCAGGGAGCAGCCTCAATGGGGTTCCCCCCAATCCTACTCCCATTGTCCAGCGGCTGCCGGCCTTTCTGGATAATCACAACTATGCCAAGTCCCCTATGCAGGTAAGCTGGGAGTGCCCTTGCACAATTCCCTCCAGGATTCTCTTGAGAGACTTCAACAGGCAGTTTTCTCTGGTGGTTCCTTGGCGTTCAACCTCTACCTGGGCCTAGGTGGCCAGGTTCCTCTGTCAGATATTCAGAAGCACTGCCGCCTCCCCCCTTACCGCCCCCGCCACCACCAATGGCAGGGGCTTAGGGAGGCAGAGCTCTTCTGACTTTAAATTCAGTCACATGGCTGTGGGGCTAAATGTTTAGAGCATATTCCTTGGCACAACTCTGTTTGGTTCTACTGGCAAAATAAAGACACGTGTTTCAGGGCACTCTGTTTCTCTTAGAAGCACTGCATAGGCAGGTAGTGTGGTAGTGTGGGCAGCAGCCTCCCCAGGAGCCAAAGGTGGGCTCCAGGGCACCTGGAAGAGTTCAGTGGACTGGACCTGGAGAGCCATTGTTGGCTTTCTTTCTGCCTGTGAGTGCTGTGCCCATCCTGGGCTCACTGGCCTCTGGTCATGGCTGCCCTGGGTCTCTGCCTCAGGAGGAGGAAGACCTGGCAGCAGGTGTGGGCCGCAGTCGAGTTCCAGTCCGCCCACCCCAGCAGTACTCAGATGATGAGGACGACTATGAGGATGATGAGGACGACGATGTGCAGAACACCAACTCTGCCATCAGGTCAGCCCCAGCTCTGTAAGACTGGAGGTTCTGAGTGCTGCAGATCCTATCTTGAATATCCAGCCTGTGTCTGAGAATGCCTTTTAGCAGATAATGCTAAGCACCTGCTGAGTGCAGGGCCTGGGGGAGGCTGGCATGAAGGGGCTGACTCCAGGTCCCAAGAAGTTTTTGGAAGGCTTAGGGGAGGGCTGAGCACATTTAACTAGACATCAAGGCATGTCCTGTTGGGAGGTGGCCTTTCAGCTAGGCCTTGAAGGATTGGATGAAGCAGGATGATGGAAGAGACGGGGTGGGGGGTAGCTTTGCTGGAAGACACGGCATTGGCAAAAGACCAGAAGTGAGGCGGCTAGAATAGAGAAGGTGTCCTTTGAGGACACCTGGCTGCAGCTCTCAGAGCATAGCGTGCCAGGCCTGGCATGGCTAGTCAGGCTGCTGGACCGAGTGTGAGGAGCTGCAGGGTCAGTCCCTGGAGGCTAGGATGTGTTCACGCCAATCTGGGCACTGCTGGGTGTGGTCACCTTGCCCATTCCCTTGGCTCACCTCTCCTTGGGCCCCACAGGTACAAGCGAAAGGGGCCAGGGAAGCCAGGGCCATTGAGCGGCTCCGGAGACGTGCAGCTGTCAGTGCTGCAGCCCAACACTATCAATGTCTTGGCTGAGAAGCTCAAAGAGTCCCAGAAAGACCTCTCAATTCCTCTGTCCATCAAGACAAGCAGCGGGGCCGGGAGTCCGGCTGTGGCCATGCCCATGCACTCGCAGCCTTCGCCCACCCCCAGCAACGAGAGCACAGACACAGCCTCCGAGATTGGCAGTGCTTTCAACTCGCCGCTGCGTTCACCCATCCGCTCGGCCAACCCGACACGGCCCTCCAGCCCTGTCACCTCCCACATCTCCAAGGTGCTTTTTGGAGAGGATGACAGCCTGTTGCGTGTTGACTGCATACGCTACAATCGTGCTGTACGCGACCTGGGTCCTGTTATCAGCACAGGTCTGCTGCACCTGGCTGACGATGGTGTGCTGAGTCCCCTGGCACTGACAGGTGGGCCTTGGCCTGGCTCACTGGCCCCTTGGTGTACTGAGGAGGAAGGAGGGAGGTGCCAAGTAATCACCAAGTGTCCTGCATTCTGATGGGTCTTCTCATGCCTTCTTTTCCCAGAGGGTGGGAAGGGTTCCTCGCCCTCCATCAGACCAAGCCAGGGGTCCGGCAGCCCAGAGGAGAAAGAGGTGGTGGAAACTGTGGACGGCAGAGAGAAGCCTGGGCTGGTCAGGCCCGGTGAGCCCTTGAGCGGGGAGAAGTACTCACCCAAGGTGTGCCCCTCTGTGGCTTTCTCTTCTAATCCTGGCAGAGGGAAGGGCCTGGGGTGCTGCTGCCTAGGTGCTGGGTTCTTGATTATAATTTTGGTGTGAAGGTTGGTGGCTGAAGCCAGGCGCCAGGAAGCTTTCTGGTAGTGGAAGGGCTTTGGTAGTCTCCATGGACTCTAGCTGCTTATCCTTGCCACTGGCTGCCACCTGGTAGTGGGGCTTTGGCACTGGCCAGCTCCCCACCATGGTGTAATGCTGGGTTTTGGCAGGAGCTGCTGGCACTGCTGAAGTGTGTGGAGGCTGAGATTGCAAACTATGAGGCCTGCCTTAAGGAGGAGGTAGAGAAGAGGAAGAAGTTCAAGGTGCGTCATCTCTCCAGATGGTCCTCTGCCCCTGACTGTCTTCTCAGAGGTGCTGCCTCCTGAGGTCAGCTGGTGGCTGCTCTGGGGAGATGGGCTGCAGTGCCCTCATCCTTCTCTCCCACAGATTGATGACCAGAGAAGGACCCACAACTACGATGAGTTCATCTGCACCTTTATCTCCATGCTGGCTCAGGAAGGTGAGGGGACTCACTGCTGTGTCTTACATGGTATGCCCTGCCACTGGCTGTGTCCCTTGGCTTCCCCCTGTGTCAGGCATCTCCTGGAGCTTGAGCAGACTATGGGGCTCACGGAGGGCCATGAGAGCCTCAGCTTCTGGCCTGAGGCTGTGGCCAATTGAGTGGGTGGCTGCTAGGCATCCAACCACCTGCTCAAGGGCCTCTGCCTCGCCACAGGCATGCTGGCCAACCTGGTGGAGCAGAACATCTCCGTGCGGCGGCGCCAAGGGGTCAGCATTGGCCGGCTCCACAAGCAGCGCAAGCCTGACCGGCGGAAACGCTCGCGCCCCTACAAGGCCAAGCGCCAGTGAAGACTGCTGACCCTGACTCTGCAGCCTGCTCTTGCCGCATGGCCCTCACGAGGGCCCCTTCCCTGCCCCACTCTCCCTCTTCCCAGTATTACTGAATAGTTCCAGCCAGAGAGCCTAAACGCTGGGAATGGGAGCCAGGCCAGAATTCCCTGCATTGTGCCACGGGGCCTGGCAGGGCAGGTCAGCCCCCTAGTGCTCAGGAGCTGGAGCTGGGGGACAGCGAGGTGCTGCAGCTTCCTCCACAGCCGGCTGTGGAGTGGCAGGACCTGGCCTTTCTGCCTGGGCAGCAGAAATATATATTTTGCCTACAGAGAACGTCTATTTTTCTGGGCTCTAACCCACCTTGCCACCACTGTGTTGACATAGCCGCCTTCCTGACTCTGCGTTCTCTCCTAACAGCTGTCATCCTGGTGGGCCCAGGTCCCTGCTTGATGCTGGGGTCACGACTGCAGGGTCACAGCTGGGGCCTGGGTGGGCCTGGGGCCCTGCTGCTCTAGCCCCAGCCTTCAGTTGTCCCTGTTGTGAAGAAGCCAGGTCTACTCTTCATTCCTCCTGGGAGAGCTCCAAACTCAGGGACCTGGCTGCTGGGCTGGATTGGGAGTGGGGTGTCCCAGTGGGGGTGGGATGAGCAGCCTGCTGGGGTCCCATGGCCTGAGCAGAGAGAAGTGTTTGAGCTGTTTGGTGGCCTGTAAACTCCCTTCATGGCTCCAGCCAGGCTTGTCAAGACTATGCTCTGTGGCAAGGCTCTGGGGCTCTTTGCCTTTAGTGTTATGGCCCTGGCAGTGGGCCTGCTTTGGGCTCTTGGGCTCTGTCCCTGGAGCCTGGGGCTCAGAGGAGCCTCTGCTCAGCTCCTCAGTATTACCATGTTTCCCCTCCTCTTAGAGACAGCAGAGACAGGGTTGTTTGCAGGAAGCTGGCACCACTCAGCTCTCCCTGCCACACCAGCTTCCTCAGCCTCTGCAAGGCACTCAGGGTGTGGGGGACAGCAGGACCAAGACAACCAGTTGGAGCCCCTGTGTTCCCAGAGGGCCTGATGCCAAGGGGTTATGGACCCAGCACTGCCTCTGGAGCTCGGGCCCTAAATGTAGCCCCATGGCCTCTGCCAGATGGCTTTGAAGGTGATCCAAGCAGTCCCCTTATCTGTACATAGTGACTGGGGGTTAGAGGGGCAAACGGGATGGCTGGCAGGCATAGCAGCTGCCTCTCTGCACTGAGCACAGCCTGATCCTTCCAGCCCCTGTAAATATTGGATCAATGAATGAATAAAACTCCTAACAAATGAACCCCCCTGTGGTTGCTGGTCTGAGGTTTGTGAGGACCTAACCAGACCTGGGCCCAAGGCTGTGTGATCAGAGGTGAAAAGTGCGTTGTTGGGCATCCAGCCTTTGGGACAGATTCTTGGGATCCCAGCCTGGGATTTAGGACCTGAACTGAGGAGGGGCTTTGGGTGCACTGTGGAACCTGGAGAGTTGCGTACAAGGTGTCCTTTGGGAAGAGAGGGCCATGCCATGGCTTTCATCAGATCTGATGGCTTTGCAACCCAGAGAGGTGCTGGGGCTCTGGGTTAAGGAAGCAGGGCTGCCTGTAGTCCTGCCTGGCGCACTGTCTCTGGAGGGGCCCTGGGACCTTGGAGAGTTCACCTCTCTTCCCTTGTTGCATTTGGACAGGTCCGGCAGGTCAAAGCTGCCACATCTGCCACTCTTCACCCTGTTAACCACATTCTCTCTTGAGGCTGCTGCAGCCTCTCACCCCCACCGTTTCCCTGGCAGTGAGTCCTACAGAGGGGGCCTGATGTAAGCAGCTAAAGCTCAGGTGGACTGCTTAGAAAACTCAACTTTAATGGCCCTAGCTCCTCTGAGTCTAGTAGTCCAGGGCACAGATGAGGGCCACACCACGCTTTATCCAGTGTCGCTGGGGCTGGTCGGTGGGGATCTCCACAGCAATGATGTAGTTGGTGGAGTGGCCTGTGGTTGAGAGTGTTCCTGGAAGAGGCAAAAAGCAGGGAGGTTTGAGTTGTCTGCCACAACTAGAGCAGGGACAGGGTAAGAATAGAGTAAAGGCAATGGACTTGGCAGACTGAGTTGGGGACAAGGAGGAGGCCCTGACCCAAGAGGAAGCCCGCCTGGTGAGTGGGTCTGGCCAAGGCTCAGGCTTGCCCAGGATTATTGCACTGATGACTGAGGATGGGAGTGGGAGAGTTGATGCTACTTCTTATTCCCCATTGGACCCAGCTCAGGCCCATCCCCCCTCTCCAGGCCTTAGTTACCCGCTCTGAGCCAAGATTGGCAGGCCCTGGGTCCCAGGACCCAAGGTGGGTCTGCTGAGGGAGGAAAGAGGATGCTGGGCTCAGGGGCCACTCCCCACAGACAGCCCAGCCTCCAGGCATTACTCTGCCTGCTGCGGGCCCAGTCGGTCTCAGGAGTGCTGGCTGACCTCTGTCGGCCCTCCTGTTCAGCTAACCTGGGTCAGCCTAACTGGCCTGGGCTGGCCCAGTCCTAGGCCCTCACCTGTGGTATAGACTGCCCACCCTGGGCCCCATACCAGCACGAGTCAGCGTCTTGTAGATGGGGCACAGGTAGAAGTCCTGGTCCTGGATCTTCCGGTTGGGCATCGGCAGGAGCCAGATAACAGCCATCTCCGTGTAGAGCTCCTTGGCACGAGACTCGGCTAGCTGGAAGGCCACTGGGTCCCAGCGGGCACCTTCCAGGAACAGTCCATGGATGTAGCACCCCTCTTGGGGCCTTTTCTTGAGCTCCGATACCGACTGGTGCATTACCTGTAGTGGGCACATACGCGTGCCCCAACACATATAAACACCCAGAATGTGGGTTAGGCGTTGGGTCAGGAAGCACAAACTCTCCTGAAAGCTCTACCTGCCTGCCCATCACTCACCTGCCATTTTAGCTGGTAGCCTGCAGTCTGTGCCCTGCCCCTATGGATTTTCCTGGGGCTCATGGCCTCTTCTGGCCTGGCTCTCCCTGCCCCTCCACCCCTGCTCAGGGATCCCCTGACTCTGCCAGCCAGCTGTGGCTTCGGTGCCCCTCCTGCCTAGGCCGTCCCCCAGACTGTCACCTGACCTGGCCCTGGCTGTGTCCAGACCTTAAAATCGAAGGAGATGGTGTCGATGGAGATGACAGACTTGCGGGCAAAGTTCTGCAGGGTGCCTGTCAGGAAAGCCTGGGGGAAGAAGAAGCCACTGATCCAGAAGACAGCTGGGGTACCCCCTTGGATCCAGGCCTGCAGGAAGTCCAGGCGCTGCAGCAGGTCCATGACCCATGAGGACAGTGGCTTGAGCGATGGGTAGGCCTTGGCATTCCAGAGCTCAGGCACAGTGTTGTTGTACAAGCTGGCAGCCATCAGCTCCAGCTGCGAGGACATCACCACCAGCCCCTTGAGTGCCTTGAGCAGGTCTCGCAGCGTCTGTGTGATCACCTGCAGCAGCCGGTTGTACCTGTGGAGCCAGTGGCAAGGAAGCAGGCAGTGGTCCAGGGCTGTGTGGCAGTATCTACACTCCCCTGTTGTAGGCCACAGACCAAAAAATAATGGCAGAACGTCGGGGCTAAGAGCACAGAGCTGGGTTGGGCAGCCTGGGTACCAAGCCCACCTCTGGCCCTTAGCAAATGTGTGACCTTAGACAGGTCACTTAACCTTCTTGGGCCTTGGTTTACTCATCTGTAAAGTGAGAAAAATAAAAATGTGGCTGAGTTAGAGGATGGACTTATAGCCTTGGGTGTGTGGTATCTGGCCCACAGTAGTTCTTGCTGACATTTCTCTACAGCTCAGTGGCCTGCTGACTCAGGGCTGGGGTGGTGGTGGGATTACCGAATGACCTCCTGTACTAGCACGGTGTTCATTGACTCTTCATACAGCACAGGGTACTTGGTCATCACATTCTGCAAGTTGATGGGCTCAGGCACCTGGAGCAGAATGTTCTGGGCCATGTCTTCCACTATCTGTGGGGGCAAAGGGACACTAGGGGTCAGGACCAGCCCCCCTTAACCCTTGCAAGATTCCACATGCACCGAGTTCCTTCCCAAAGGGGAACAGGCAGGCTGGCGGGTGAGACTGGTCCTGCCCAACCCTTGGGCCCCTTCCCCCTGCTGCCACCCACCTCCTCTCGGCCCTGGCTGCCCACAGAGGACGATTTGGGTTGCAGCTGGACGATAGTGCTGAGCAGGGCGTAAGTCTCATTCTGGGCGAAGGTAATGTTGGCATTGTCGTGCAGGCCAAAGAGCTCAGGCATGTCGTTGAGTGGGAGGCCCTTGATGTAGGAGAGGTAGCCCTGTGGGGTAGGAGGACCACAACTGAAGCCCCTGCCTTGCTCTACCCCCAGCCTGTGGGGTGGCCCTCCAATTGAGCACATCCCCCACTCATCACCCCTTGTGGTATCCCTTACACATCCCCCTGAACTTGGGACTCTGTGGCCTCTGAGGCGCTGTGTGGGTGGTCTCGGCTTCCCTGCCAGCCCTCTTCTCACTGCCATCCAGGCTCCATGTTCCTTCGTTCAGCTGCTCAAACCTGTCACACTCCCTGCTCCCAGGCCATTTACACTGATGACCCACATTCTGGAATGCCCAACTCAGTCCCTGACAGCACCTCATACATCTTACCCGAAGCATCATTTCCCTAGGGAGTCCCCTCTGACTGCGTGGTCTGGGTCGGGTTTCCGCCTCACCCCTGCCTCAACTGAGGAATTAACGCTCAGGCAGTGGCTGAGAGGCAGGAGTTCACCTCTCCCCATCTAGCCCGAGCTCCAGGGCACAGGGACTGGGTCTGCCTCCCTCACTGTGGCTGTCTTTGAGGGATGGATTAATCAATGAAAAGGAGCTACTGGAGGGCAGGGCCCCGTCTCCTCTTGCCCAACACCCAGGTGTTCATGGCACTCCAGAACCCCAGCCTGTCAACTGCTCCTGCACAGCCCTGGGGGGGTGTGCTCACGCTGAGGTTGTAGGTAGGTTGTAACTGGTGGTAGATGCCCGAGGCGCTGTAGCTGTGCTCAGGGAAGAGCACCTCGGGGCTGTAGAAGTCCTCCAGGATGTTCATGACACAGCGGCGGTCCCAGTCATCGGTGACACGGCCCCCATAGTTGATCTCCCCTGCTGTGTACTTGAGGACCTACAAGGTGGGTGTGTGAGGCCCCACAAGCACCCAGCCCCCCGCCCCCAGGCTGTCCCTGGCCCACCTTGTAGGGGATGTCACCATACTCGTCCAGGAACATCTTGAGCTGGCTGATGCAGATGCGCAGGTCCCCGTCTGTGAACTCATAGGGGATGTTGAAGCCCAGGGGCCCAAACTTACGGCGCTCCAG